CTTCCTGATTGGCCGGTAAGCTGGCTCCATGCTCCCTCGTCACAAGTGCAAGGAGCATGACGAGGGAGCATGGAGCCGGCTTCCCGGCCAATCAGGAAGCCAGTCAGCGTGTAATGACTCGCTGCCCGCTTCCTGATACAGGAAGTATCGGGCTAGGCATCGGAGCATTTGGGCAAGTATGAGTACTCGCCCACATACTCGGCATCAGCACCGATACTAGTATCGGTGCATCCCTAGTTTTAACCCTTTGCTGCACTATCCAAAATGCATCCCTAGTGCTACCTATCAGCTTTTGGAAGAGTCCGTCACTGGGTTCTAGCTGAAATACTCACAGGATTCTGAAGCCTTCTTGCGTGAATTCACAATAAGGGGTAAAAATAAGACTGGTCTACTGAAAACAAAAAGAAGAACCTCTGCTCACCGAAGGAGGCACCAAGGAAGTTCAGGTAACGGCGGATTTAGGTGAGATTTTGTGTGGTTTTTTTTAAGGAGTCAAAACCACAAACTGGGTGTGTGCCGGTGGGGTGAGAAGAAGGCATTTGCTTGGACTGGAGATGTGGTGAAGGTATATGGAAGCCCTTACAAAGAACTTCTCCTATTTTCTCTCTTTTGATCTGCTAAATATAACATTCAAATGGTTTTGTTATATCTGTTCAACAAGTACACAAAATAATTGTTGATCCTACCAAAAATCTTGTCAGCTGACAGCTAGTTACATGTGAATTACTCATTTATGGCATATATCACTTCTGCCACAAATGGCTATTTTTTAGACCTGCCATACTGTAAAAAAAAAAGGGCTAAATTGACTCTCGGCTAAAAGTCAGGCTAATAAGTTACTCTTCATCCTTTCTAATTGTCTATAAAAACTAATTATACGGGGCAGCCAGGGACACTCATTTCTATCAGTGCAAGTATAGAGGGGGGAATTTATCAAAACTGGAGCAGTTGCCCATGGCAACCAATCAGCTTCTCTCTTTCATTTTGTTCAGTTAAGGTTTGAAAATGAAAGAGAGAAGCTGATTGGTTGTCATGTACAGCTGCTCCAGATTTTGTCTGCTCTAGTTTTGATAAATTCCCTTCAGACTGTTTTAATTTGAGTGTCTCTCCGTCCTGACACACATTCTGTAGCGCTTATTTGGCAGACATAAAGCCAAGTATGCTTCCTTTTTGCAACCCCCGCTCCATATAATCTATCAATCTCCTTAAAGGAGTTCTATAGTCCCAGCATATCCTCTCCTGTTACAACATCAGCATTGTAATAGGAATACACACTAGAGATGTTTCTGATAATACAATCAAAGCTTACTTGAAAAAATCCCTTTTATGTAGTGAGCGCTGCCTTCCGTCTGCCCATCACTTCCAACAACACCCTGGATTCCCAGTGTGCTTTGCATCTCTTTCCCTGCTGCTTGATGTGATGCAACCTCCATTTCTCAAGACAACGTATCCCATCATGCATTGCTTCCAGCAAGCAATGATAATGTTACATTGTGGGAAATTCAGACATTGAGTTGTAGTTCAGATGGCAGGCTTAGTTGGAGTGGTGACACAAGTAAGTGCATATTCTCAGGCCTGAGTGACATGTGAAGTCCATCCTATCTTCCACTTTACCAACTTCTAGATGGATATGGTTGTTAGGAGTGGGATAGAACTTATGGAAATTCAATATAGAAATATAGATTTCGTTTTTGGTTTTGAATATACAGTAGATACCCTTTACGCCATCACATATTGCCCAGTGCTTTATAGGTATGTGTTACATACTGTGCTGATGAGGGCCAAAAAGCCAGAAACGGCTGTCAGCTCTTCATATAAATGGAGCCCACATCTGTGCTATGTGGCGGCAATTTATGGATTACAATTGGCCTTAGGGGGTGCAATGGGATTATTTGCATGGCTGTTCCCACTTTCCTGAAATGAGGAATACATTTCTTGTTTTATGACATCTAGTTTGAAGTGATGACATGTAAATACTGTGTTCTTTAAGAAAGGATTCTGTGCTTTGTGAGCATGTTGTGACACAGTGAGCCTGAACTGAACGTATATCCAGCCTTTCCATAAGGAAGCCTCCTTTTGTTCAGCTAGTCTCCGCTGTGTCCCTGCCTCCTCTCCATTAATTCCAGGAGGTATTATTACAGCTTTTTATTACAGTAATATGCCAAAAGTCTCTACCCATCTCCTCTAGTATGCCTGAAGTCTCTACCGGTCTCCTCTAGTATGCCAGACGTCTCTGCCCATCTCCTCTAGTATACCCTCCGACTCTGTCCACCTTCTTTAGTATGCCAGAAGTCTCTATTAGTCTCCTGTAGTAGCCAGCAGTCTCTGTTAGTCCTCTGTAGCATGCCAGCAGTCTCTTCCTATCTTATATTGTATGCCAGCAGTCTCTGCCGTTCTACTTTAGCATTTCTGCAGTCTCTGCCCATGTCATGTAGTATACCCACAGACTCTGCCTGTGTTCTGTGAAATGCATGAAGTCCCTGCCCATCTCCAATGGCATGCCCACAGTCTCTGCCCATGTCCTGTAGCATGCCTACTATCTCTGCCCATCTTCTGTAGGATGTCTGCAGTCTCTGCCTTTCTTATGTAGCATGTCCTCAGTCTCTGTCCATCGCCTGTAGCATACTTTCCATCTCTGCCTGCCTCTAGCATGCACACAGTCTCTGCCCATTCCCTGTAAAATGCCCGCAATCTCTATCAGTCTCCGGTGGCGTGACTCCCGGACTCTTGTAGCCTGCCTGCAGCTTCTTTTCATCTCTTGCAGCATGCCCATAGCCCCTGCTTATCTCCTGTAGCATGCCCAAAGTCTCTGCCCATCTCCTGTACCATGCCGCAATCTCTTGCTGTCTCCAGTGGCATGCACACAGTCTCTTCCTACCTCCTGTAGCATGCCTGCTGTTTCTTTCCATCTCTTGTTGCATGCACGAAGCCTCTGCCCGTCTCATGTAGCATGTCAGCAGTTTCTGCCCACCTTCTATAGCATGCCTACAATCTCTACATTCTTCTGAAGCATTATATATACTGAATATTACGTGTGGCCCATAGGTGATGTAATGCATTGGGTCTTGATATCGAGTATGCTGACTACCACTGATGTGTATATACACCAATAAGATTTTAACAAAGCCTGGAATGCAGAACTATAACCAAAAATAAAACAACAAAAATAATTAGCCCATCAAAAATATAATTACAAAATGTTTTTTACTGCAATAATCAGCTTCTGTCTGAAGCTGTCCTTCATAGCATTTCTTTTCCACCACAAGATGTCCTTAGTCTTCCCTTTGAATGATGGCCAGAAACATTCAACCCACTTCCTCTGAGCCCAGGCTGTCATGTGCCCACCCGCTGACATCACAGTGAAGCAGAAGCAACACAGGAATGAACCCATCTTTCTGTCCCTCTGCTTTTTCCTCCTCTCTGCATGCTTCTTGTCATGAACTGATTGGCTTCTTGTGCTGCTGCATCCACTCCCATTCAGCTCTGCTGTACAGGGACTGCAAGAGGCTGATACCAAGTCACCAAGTCAAATTCATGTATTAACACCGCTTGCATTTAAAAAATTGTGTTAATGAAGCTTCATTTTTGTCTTTTATATCAACCTAGAATATATATATATA